GCAGTCAGCAGCTACATCCTATTTCTTCGGAATGTCCTCATTATCTTTCACGTTTGAGGGGAATTGGTAGTAGGGAAGCATATGCCTATCTATTACCTCAAGTGCAGAGGATCGGGTAGACAAAGAGGAGAGGGATATGAGTGAATTCTACCAGCTGAAAAATGCTACTTCAGGGATTACTAGTGATTCTCACGATAATCTCTCAAATCTCAGAAGATGTGTTAAGCTTGAAAGCTTCATCAAACCTTACAGTGAGTCGTCTAGGATTACTTCCTAGAACATTTCTAGCAAGCTTTTATGGTCAAGTTTAGGATTCTAACTGATTTATTGTCAGCCTGACTTCAGATAGATATGCCTATTCTGTCAGTTCTCGGTGGATCTGAAAGCGAAGGTTTTTCAGATTTGAGAATACTGAAATCTCTGTACTACAACTTTTTTTCTGTCGTATCTTCATCTATAGGCGGAGGTGGTGTAGTGACAAGTGGCGCGCTTACCACTCGCGCGGTCCTGGGTTCGAATCCCAGGTCGACACCCGCCCAGGCCAACCAAGCCTTCTACCCTCCGGGGACGGTAAATTGGTACCAGATTCGTCTGGGAGGATAAGAACACTGACTTGTACATCGGCTGACCCCCGCAAGTCATTCTGTAGGACAGAGAGCAACTCTTCAACCCTAAATCATGTTCACCTAGTTTTTCCGGACGAATATCAAGAATTCAGGTGATGAGAAGAAGGTGAAGACCAGGCGCATATTATTATTCCATCGAATTTTTATAACTGTGTATTTTATCCCTGTTATTTCATTTTTCCTTGTTGCTCCGATATTTTAGAGTGAGTACGAGGTCAAGACTTGGGTTGCTTTCGGGATACCTTAATGGTTTTCGCAGAACAACTGTTGGAATCGAAATTCTAACAGTCTGGCCTTGGTCGTTATCGTCAGAACGACAGCAGCTTTTCCTACAAAGACTGCTCTCTTACTGCTACTATTTTCGAGTTGTCTTGAAACCTTTAAGTCGCAGCAATTTTGCAAAATAATCGCTGCAGTTGTGGAAATGTCTGATTCTAGTAGATTCTGATGTGATTAGAACTTGGGGTGAATGAATGTCCTCCTCTTACCATTAGTGTAATGTCCTTACTCCTAGAATGACAGCCGTTTGTCCTTTTACATCGCGAATTCTGTACTTTTGAGCTAGAAAAGGAAAAGGTCAGAGCGGCCAAGCAACTTCCTACCAGAAGTGTTCAAAATTACAGTTTTGTCTCAACAGAGAAGGGTGGTAGGCCGTAGCGGCCATTTGAAATGAGATGTATAATAGATGGTGTGTCTCTTCCTGGTAATTAACAAATTCGTCTTCCAAACCTGCTGCTGAAAGTAGTAACAGAATGTCTTCGAAGTGAACCATACAATCCTTCGTTTGTTAGTTTTCTCGTGATTCTCTGAGCTCTATTCTATTCAAACGAGTTATAAAAAAACGGGTAAG